TCTGATCTTAAACGTTTTTTAACTTTTTTGCCAATAATTGTTTGATATGAAGGTATGGCATGCCTTTTTATACTCTTTTTACGCCCAGTACCAAATTGTTTTGGTAGCCCTCCTTTCTCAAGTACTGTATCTATACCTCTTCTTCCTTCTTCTCTAAGTGCTGCTTTAAGTGGCTCTCCTTGATTTACTCTCTCTAACACTCTCTGACCAGTGCTTAACGCTTCCCCTGCTACAGTAGTACCCGCTTGTTTTATTATTGGGAGGAAAAAACGCCAAAGTCCTCTCATTACATCACCAATCCCTGCTCCTCTTTGAGAATTACCGTAACCTCTTTGAAAGGGCGATGAACCTTTAAAGTAACTGTATTCATCAGATATTCCACTTCCCTTCATAGGAAGAAATTCTTCATAACCGACAGATCTTGTATCAAAAATTACATGAACCATTTTTTAAAAATATTTTATTAAAAATAATAAATGAAATTTATAATTTTGAGGGTATTTATATAGACACGACAAGTGGAAATTAAAAATTTATAACTTTTTTAAAGATTAAAACTATCATCACTGTCCCAAATGCAAAGGGAACGAGTCTTCCTCCATCCATTGTTCTTAATTCTATTTCAATCTCATTAATTTCCTTAGGAAGCACACGAATGTATATTGGTGAGTCATAAATCTTTTCCTGATACTCTCCAGGATTACCAGACACTGAAACAACTCTTAATAGAGAGCTTAGGGAATTGCCAACGATCATATTCTCTGTTAAACCTTTTGAGTACACAGCAAAACTTGAGAATCCTCCTCTCAAGTCACTTCCGTATTTTGCAATCTCATTATTCATGACCATATTTGTATTTTCAAAGCCCAAAACATAACCCAGCTGAGGAGAAAACGATATATATTTAATATTTGGATGAGAATATTCCATTTTAAAACGTTTAAAATCATTGTGAAAGGACAGAGAAATAGAATCTATAATTTGTTTCTGGACTGTAGCATCTATTTTGTCTTTTCTTAGATAACTGTATTTCTTCAGAAGACCTTCTATCATTGGTAAATAATTTTCTCTTTGAAAGTCAGTAGGGGGTTTGCCAATTACATGTGTTAGAACTCTCTCCATATCATCAGTCCATTTTATTTTTTGTTGAACGGTTGATTGATTTTGTTTTAACGGAAGAGCTTCAGGGAGTGGAGGAAGAGTTTGTATAGGAGGGGGTAGTGGGTTTTTGGCGGAGTAGTAGGTTTTGGGAGGGGAATTGATTTTTGAGGAGGTAAAATTCTAGGAGGTGAAGATGGAGGTTTTTGAGCAGGGGGAGGTGGAGGAGGTTGTTGTGGAGTAGAAGGTTTTTGAGGTTGGAAAAGTTGTGGTTTTTGAGGGGTTGGGGGTTTTTGAGTAGAAGGTCGAGGTGGTTGTGAAGTGGGTTTTTGAGTAGGAGGAGGTGGTTGTGGAGTAGGAGGTTTTTGAGTAAGAGGAGGTGGTTGTGGAATAGGTTTTTGAGTAGGAGGAGGTGGCTGTGTAGTAGTAGGTTTTTGAGCAGGAGGAGGTGGTTGTGGAGTAAGAGGTTTTTGAGCAGGAAGAGGTTGAGTAATAGGGGTTTTTTGAGTAGGAGGAGGTGGTTGTGTAGTTGGAGGTTTTTGTGTAGAAGGTGGCGGTGGTTGTGGAGTAGGAGGTGGTTGTGGAGTAGGTTTTTGAGTAGGAGGAGGTGGCTGTGGAGTAAGAGCTTTTTGAGTAGGAGGAGGTGGTTGTGTAGTTGGAGGTTTTTGTGTAGAAGGTGGCGGTGGTTGTGGAGTAGGTTTTTGAGTAGGAGGAGGTGGCTGTGGAGTAAGAGCTTTTTGAGTAAGAGGAGGTGGTTGTGGAGTAGGAGGTTTTTGAGTAAGAGGAGGTGGTTGTGGAATAGGTTTTTGAGTAGGAGGAGGTGGCTGTGTAGTAAGAGCTTTTTGAGTAGGAGGAGGTGGAGATGATTGTGGAGTAGGAGACGGTTGAGGTGTAGTAGATTTTGGAAGTTGTTGCACTCTAGGAGGGGAGGAAAGTTTGATTGAAGAATTCTCATTTTCTTGAGGTGCAGGTTTCTTTGCCGGTGGAGTAGAAGACGGTTTTGCAGGATCAACCCATCGCGGAGGAGAACCAGCTTGTATCCTTGGAGGCGAAGGTAGAGTCTCCTCTAAACTTCGTTTTGGACGTTCAACTCTTGGTGGTGAAATTAGAGTAGGCTTATCGACAAAACTATCAGTTTTATTTTGAGGAGATTCTTCAAGAGATCCACTTTGGTGTTGTAATGTTGATGTTAAAAATTTTAGTAAATCTTCCGATTTATTGTGTGAACCTCTTGGTACAGGTACTCTTATAATTTTAGCTTTACCTTGAAAATCTGTACAGTGAATAGCAATCCATTGTTCGTCAAGTGTACCAATGGTTGAGGGCCATGAATAGGGGTATGAAATGCTATGTAGTCCACAAACCCAATCTCCAGAAAAATAAATTGGTTTCGGGAGATGAACCCGAAACTTATTAGGCTGATTATCGGGATAATCAGTTGTATTACTTAGTAAGCAAACGTAAAAACTGTTTGACATTTTTATCTCAAATAAAATTATACAATGTGAAAACAAATGTCTTTTATACTAACTGATTCTCGTGTATCCATTCTCTCTCGGGGTAACCTATATATTTTACAAGTAATTCATATGCACCATCTGGTCGCTTTCTTTTTTGATAAACCTTCTCTATTCTGTACTCGGTCCCTGCATCCTTTTTCACTTTAGTGAGTTCCTCATTGTAATAAGATCCCTTGTACTTATCACCTTTGTCATCTACTAATTTGTAACGAATTGGTCTAGATTGGTTTTTGACTTTGTCAACTTCCACTATTACGTCACCCCAATTTGGGATATATCCCTTTTCAAATGTTCCTTTATTAACACTCATACGAACAAAATCTCCTTTATTAAATTTTGGCTTTGATTTTTTAATTTTTGTAGACAATTCATCTCCATAAATCCTCTCCCACACCTCTTGAGCATTTTTAAAGTTAACGTCAATTGGTCTCATTCCGTGAACCCTACTCCTTGCCTTATTGATACCTTCCAAAATTTTTGGTAAAATTTCTATCCAATTAAGTGTTTTGTAGTGGGCAAAATATCGATATAATCGTTGTTTAACATTTCTAATTGCCCGCTCCGCAAGCGAAGCTTTAACTGTTGAATGGGTTGCCTCAAACTTTTCAATTTCTTCTTTTTCAAAAAATTCTTTTATTTGTCTATTTTTAAATTCTAAACCTCTATCAGAGAATATTCTATGTGGCTTCATAGGCATTTGATCGATTAATTGTTTAAATGCCTCTAACATATCTTCAGCTTTCTTTGATTTGACAGCTACTCCAAAAACACGTTTAGATAAAACATCAATCCCTAATAGTAAATATCTATTTCCTTTATTATGTCTACAAAGTGTTTGAAAATCCGCCAAGTCTACTTGAACATCTGTCATAAAGCCCGATGCTACAGTTTTGCTGCGAGGAAAATGAATTCTTTTAGGACGCATAAGAGTATAAGTCCGATGCCCCTCGAGAAAATCTTGTACAACGCTTCTAGGTAAATTTTTAAGAACTTTGCGGGCTTCGTGCCATAATCTGTCAACTCCTGAAAAGGCTGCAGGAGATTCGGGGTCATTATAGAGATGATGCAAAAGTTTTGTATAATCTGCCATTTTTCACCATAAAGATGGTTTAAATCTATTTATATCCTGTTGAGAAGGTTTCTTTACAGCCCATTTCTTTCCAATTAATCGCCCTTTTACACCTATATGTCGAGAACTTGAACCTTCTTGGGTCGGCTTCTTTGTTGCCCATTTGTATTTTCCACTCGCACGCCCTTTTATCATATTTAATTTTTCCAACCATGCTTTTGATAATCGTTCTGATTTTTTCTTCGAAACGGGTCCTTTTATCCTTTTATAATGTAATAACCTGGTTCCTTCAGGAATTTCATATTTTCTTTTTGAGCGCTCACGAGGTATTGAAGGAGACGGAGATCTACCTTCTCTCAATATTTTATGACGACGACGAGATCTTTTAGCGCTATCTAAAAGTTCAGCCTCCTCATCTCGACGTATTTGTTGAATTACACTATGATCAAGAGGGACTTTGACATTTTGGGAAGTTTTTCTTCTCCTTAATAGCTCTTTCTTCTTTTGAATCTGTGCAATTTGTTCTCTTAACCTAAGTTCTTTATTTTCATATATATTTTTACTTCTCTTGAATCCTTCAACACTGTTGGCATCTTGGTCTCTTTTTAAAGCTACAGGATTAGAATCCATTAAAGGGGCATTTTGAGCATCAATGACTGAATCTGTTTGTTTCTCGACTTCTGAAGTTGAGGGTAAATTTAGCGTTGCCGTAACTCTTTTCTTTTGCTTCTTTTTAACAGGAATTTTAGACTTTTTAATTCTTTTAATGGGCTTCATCCTTTTTCCGTTTGTTTTATCTTTCCTTTTTACAAGCTGGCGAGGTGTTGGAGACACCTCTTCTCTTAGAACGTCTCTACTTCTAGGTAGTGAAGGTAAAGATGGGTGGTAAGATGATTCAAGAGAGGAGGCACAACATTATAAGCATTATTGGGAGGTTCTCTAGGATAATTAGAAAATGAGAAATCATCGCTCATCCACAAATCATCGTCATTATCGGCAATATTTGTAGGTGGGCCCGCTTGTTCATTACTCATAATAGCCCCCTTGGGTGAAGCGACCATTTCAACTCTAACTGGTCGATTTTCTCTTTCGTTACGTAAATGTAAATAACGCCTTAATTCTTGGTTGTAGTGAATGTTTTTAACACTAGGATGTTCCTTCACCCTTCGAGTTTTATCGAGTGTTCTTCGAACATCATCAAGATTTGGTTCACCAGTATCAAAACTAGTAAGCCCGCGATAAATTTCTTGCGGAACGAGGACAAATTTATTAGCCATAGTTTCTTTAGTAAATACTTTAAAATATAATTCTGTTTAATTTCCGCTTTTTATAGAGCGCGCAAGTTCAATGAGTATTGGGGTAAGGAGAGCGGCAAAAGCTCCAATACCATTTCCTTTCTGCAAAGCAAGTCTTGCTCCTCTTTCACTTCGTGCCCTACTTACTTTTCGGACAAAACAGGCGTAAGGCATTAAACGATTCTTTTGACGGGGTGTCAACATAAATCGAGATTTTACAATGTTAAGACATATTTCAACAAGTGTTAAAAGTTGAGTATTACTAGCAAGTCGTAACAGTCGACGAATTTTTCGTTGTGATTTTGTATGACATAATTTAGTAAGAAAATTTGAATTCTCGTTTATTAAATGACTAACCATTTTAAATTCCACTCTTTGGAGTGAAAATAATTTTTTCGTCCTCCTTAAATATTCCTGTCCTAAGTCTTAAAGTTGGATCAGAGGAGGCATGCATGTCGATCAATAAATATCCATAGGGCTGATTTGTTGCTTGACGGTAGGCGTCCAAGAAATAGTCAAGCCTTCTAGGGAAGAGCTGGACTCCTATATTCCTTACTGCAAGGGCTGAATTAGGTGAACGCATTAGTACAATGTATTGGGCATTTTGACGAGCAACTTTAATTTTTCGATCGAATAAATTTTGTGTGACAAATATAACAGAGAAATTTTGATGGTGTGACTTTTTTGTAAAAAGCTCAGACAAATATTTTTCATCAATAGACAAAAGAAGATCATCCAAAATTAGAAGAAGTGGCTTGGGGAGTGTTTTTATTAATTCTTCGGGTGGGGTTCCGACAAAGACATTAACACCAGATCTTTGAAGTATTGGTACAATACTACTCATTTCGCCAAAACAATAGAGTATGCTCTTTGGCTTGGGTTCAATTAACTCTTCTACCTCTGAAATAAATTTGAGCAAGAACGTACTCTTGCCACTAGAACTAGGGCCAGAGACAATCATACCAAAAGGCAATTTGAGTTTTAAATCTTTATTTGAAAAAGTTAGCGTTTCCATATTAAATGATAGAAAAATTATAAAACTTGGAAATTAATGAACTTAAATACTTGGTGAATTAAAGAGGGGGTTGTAAATTAGTGTCTTCCATCTTAGCTATTACTTCATTCTTAACCTCTACGTCCGAAGATATTCCCATAGTGACAGCTTGCATAGAGTCGAAAAACTCTAAAAGGACTGCATCATCATTTTCTTTAACTAACGACTCTTCTTTGATTGGAGATAATGTTACGTGAGACTCTTGTGCTTGTATTTCTTTTTGTGGAGATGCAAGTAATGGAGTTAATATTTCCTCTTGTGGTGCAGGAGGAGGGGGTATAGTTGTTAATAATTCCTCCTGTGGAGGCATAGGCGGAGGTGGGGGTGGTGGGAGAGGTAGTTGAGCTGTTGTCTCACGCTTGCGAGAACTAGTATCGTCGACTGAGCAAACATTTTGCGAACCATATGTTATATTCAAAATTCGACCCTTGTTTTTTATCTTAAATTTAAATTTTTCCAAAATTATTTTAGGCAAATGACCTTGAAAAAACAATGACCCGGGAGGTCATAAAAGCAATCAAACGGTACAAGACGAGGAGCTGCAAGGCGTGTACAATAAATTGTCACTCCCTCTTTCGTAATGACAAAGTCCATTTCGACCTCCGTGCTTTTACATTCTCGGCATCGACCCCCATGTTCAAAAGGAATGAAACGTGGAGTGGTAATTCGGTCACTCGTGATGGTTATCCCATTAGTAGTTATGTTGAATTCGACTTCGGGGAGAATCTGGGTTAATAATGATTTCTTATCATTCATGTTTAAAGCCATTCTATTAAAATTTTCTAAAATTAATTAATTTTGTTTAGATTTTTGAGTTTATATACCCTTCTCTCTCACTCTAATAGGTGTCTGTACTCTCTAACCCTACAGTATTTCTCAACTTTATGTGTATCTATTTTGAACAAGACACCAAATTTGAAAAAGCGAAGCCAAGCCATTTTAAAAGCGAAGCCAAGCCATTTTAAAAGCGAAGCCAAGCCATTTTTAAAAAAATCGATATTAAGCCACGCCCACTTTTTACTTAAAAAGTCAATAATTTTTATTTCTCAAGGTCATTCTTTATAATTTACAACAATTTGTACTACAATTAAATATTTAATATTAAAAAATGGAACAAAATAACTCAGCCACTGAGAAGATTGGTAACTTTTCATTTTAAAAACCTGATTAAGTTTCTATTTTAAAAGATGGGGATTGTGAGAAAAGCAAAGAAATTTCCGTTTCAAAACCTGTGAAATTGGAAAAAAAAGAAGGAATCAAAAAGCTCTTTAGGTTTAATAATAAAATAATTATTACCATACAAATTTTTTAAGAATCAACTTTTACTAATCCTCCTGTTGATCTAAATAAAATAAAAATTGTTGAAGAGCACGTTGTTAAACAACAACAACTTTGGAAGCTAATACGCGGAAAATTCTTAATTACATTTTATCTGTGTCAAGGTAATAAAATTTAATATTCTATTCAAAAATTAAATTTTTAGACTGCCAAAACAAATTATTTTATTCAAAAGACAAATTTGAAGAGAATCCTTCTTGTGTTACTGTGAAGATAGGATTATGCAATAACTGTGTCAAAGCTAATAGCACTGCTACAGATGTTCTGGCACCATACAAAAAGATTGGAAGTAAACGAAAAGCAGAATGAAGGGAAAACTGACATTAATTTAAGAAAGTTGAAAATTTTCATTGTAAAATTTAAATGTTGAATTAATAAAATAAAAATTAATAAAAAAATTAATGAGTATATTGTTTAATAACAACTTTAGGCAAAATGATAAACAGATGCGGTCTTTTGCATCTGATAGGGCAAAGAGTTATCTAAAAAATGACCGGTCAGTTTTTTAAGTTAGGTCCTAGAAAAATTTTTACGACCGTTTTACAAAAGACCATATTTTTCCAAAAATCTCAATTTTTCCAGTGAAGAAAAGAAAGAGAAAAGGAAGTTAAACCCAAAAGATCAACACCACTGAGATCACCCAACCAATTACGTAACTCTGAAATAAAAATTTCTCTCGCCCCCTCCCCCAGACCAATTTGTAAAACAATTGTTTCTCCTTACACCCAACCCCCAACGAATTAGTCACTAATTAACAACATAAATTTCCCTTGCCCCTCCCCGAACAATTAGTCACTAATTAGAATCTTAAATTTCCCCCTTACCCTTTCGCCAAACCAATTAGTCTGCTAATTGGTTCCCCTCGCCCCTTCTCGTCAGACTCGGTGGCATTTCCTTTGATCATCAATCAAAGGAGTGGCGGCATCCTTTGATACGGTGGACCCTTCCCGCCCCCTCCCCACACCAATTAGTAAAACAAATTGGTTTCCCTCACACCCAACCCCGACCAATTTGTCAAGCAATTAACACCTGTCGGTCATAAAAGTTCCCCCTTGACCGCCTCCCCAGACCAATTTGTAAAACAAATTGGTTTCACCCTTACCCCCTCCCCCAGACCAATTAGTCAATCAATTAATTCTCTTACACCCAACCCCGACCAATTTGTCAAACAATTAGCAACTTAGATTCCCTTTCACCCAATCCCCAAACCAATTAGTCAATCAATTAATCCCCCTTACACCCAAACCCCAAACCAATTAGTCACTGATTAGTTCACTTACCCCTCCCGTACTTGTCAACAGGTTCGCGATTATACGGGGCGGACCCCTCCCTTAAAATAATTTATGAGGTACAAATTAGTTCGGACCCCTCCCCCGATTAATAATTTATTACCCTGGCGGTATAATCAAAGAGGATCATCAAAAAGATCAAAAGAAAAAGCCGACAAAACCCCCTCATACCCTTTGGTTTTTGTCGGACCCCTCCCCCAGACCCCTCCCCCCGACACCCCTCCTATAGGTTGGCGGCATTTCCCTTTGATACGGTTAGGGGGGGGGGGTTACTACTCATCGTTCTTTCTTTAATTTGTTTCAGACTTGGTAATGGACATGGATTTTGTTATCTGTATCCCGATATTTGTGGCGGGTACAGGCGGATATATAACTTTGAAATTATCTGCATCTTTATCCCTATCCTAAGTGATTTGTTTGGCTATACTTTGGTTGTATGAATGAAGAAAAAACTTTTTAAGATTAAACTAATTTTAAACAAAAAACAAAAAACTTGATGTCAATTTTAATGCACTTTTAAATAGAGATCGGACCGTACCGTACTACGGGGTTATTTTTCGGTATTTATCTGTATTCCATATCGGTAATACGGTACGGAATACCGACCGATCGCATTTTTGCCGTAATACGGGCTTCGACTAATTAGTTACTAATTTTCTTTCGTTATCAAATTTATATCAATTTAAATATGTAGATGCTCGAACAACTGTATTTATGTCCACAAAAGATTTCGTAGGCTCCAACATACCTCTTTTGATTTATGGAATTTAGCGGGATTAATCTTGGGTGTTCCCGTTCGTAAAATTAAAAAAAGGGCCCCCCTCCTTAAACGTTAATTTAAAAAATATTATTTTATTTTCTCATTATATAATTAAATAAATATCAACAACAAAGAACAATACAAATTAACTTTTTAATACATACACAATTTCCTGCTTTATCACTATTAATTAAACTAAAAATTCCTGTAAAGCTTTTTGTAGAGGAAGTAGTAAATGGTCATCCTTCTACTTCTATTTATTTTTTTTGAATTTTTATCAAGTAAATAAATAAATAAAAATAATTGTGTGGTGTTTTTAAATAACGAGTTTTGTGACAAATGAACAATTTCAGGGAAGAATTAACATTAAAAAAGCTATATAAGCGGTTGCCTTTTTTCTTCCTTTTGATGGATATATCCGAACCTATTTAATCGGCATTCTGCTATATAAATAGGAGACAAAAATATTTAAAGAGCTAGTTTATTTTTATTAGATTGTGAAGATAAAAATATTTTTATCTTTTTTATCCATTTTTTGAAAATACTGTAAAAGGCAAGACATTTGCGACCTCGACATTTGAGGACAAAAATAAGCAGAATGAAATGGGAACAAATTGCCATGGGATATTTGTTCTCCGTACTATACTTTGTATATACAGTACTCTTTTGGTGGTATAGTACTCATCACAGTTCCTATAAAACAAAAGTTTAGAGGATATCCGCAAATGTCGGTCCGCAAATGTTGCTTTACTCTGTAAAAGCTTTATTATTCTCTCAAGTCATTTAGTTTTTGAGGGCTTTTATTGAAGAGAGTTCTTTAGTATTTTTTGATTATTTTATTTATGACTGGAGAAAGTGTCTTTTAAAGCTTTTATGGTTTATATCTTTTTAGTTTTTTCATTTTTTAGGCGAGAGGGTCTTTCCATTGTCCTTCCGTCCCTCGAGTACCTTTCACGTTGTTCCTCCGCTTAACGGCGATATGGAACCTAAAGAGCAGTTTTGCCTTAAAGAGACGGTAAATTGACTAAATAATTTTCGAGAAAAATATTTTCCTTCAAAGGATGAGCACCGTCAAATGCGACGAATTGCTTTTGTAGCGGTTGTTGTTTCGACGGTTGCAGTAATTGCTTCTGTTGTAACACTTCCAATGCTTTATAGTTATGTACAGTCTTTCCAAAGCCATTTAATTGTTGAAATTGACCATTGTAAGGTAAAAATGAACTTTTGATTTAGTTATCCTTCCTTACATTTTTCGATAGGAAAAATAAAAAAAGTTTTTGACCGTGTATGAGAGATTAATATAGAGAACAGCCTTACTCTATTTTTCAAATGAACTCTGAATTTTTACAATTACGTATTTAGGCAAAAAGTCGAGATATGTGGCTAGAAATGACAGCACTTCAAATTGGAAAAGGACACGTTAACCGAGTTAAACGTGGCTGGCTATTTGGCCAGTGGGTACCAGAAAATGGTTACGAACCAGCACAAACTGGCCCTTCAAATACTGTCCAGTCAGCAATATCACAAGGCCCAAGTGGGGCAACCTATGGACAGGGAGCTGCTGGTTATCAACCTGTTGTTGCTCCAGAACCCGCTCCAGTTTGTTGTACTTGCCATCAAGGACCGCCCGGACCTATTGGTCCTGAAGGAGAACCTGGGCCAGATGGGGAGGATGGACCTAATGGAAAGGACGGAACTAGTGGAAAAGATGCGCAGATTTTGCCAGCTCCTGTGGAGCCTCCTTGTATTATATGCCCGCCAGGACCTGCTGGTCCTCAAGGCCCTGCTGGTGCTAAAGGACCACCTGGCCCTAAAGGATCGCCTGGAGAGCCGCCAAAAGACGGTAGATAGATTTTTAAGGAGAAAAATAATTTCACAATTTAAAGGAGTTCCTGGTGAACAAGGAATGGCTGGACAACATGGTCCACCCGGTATGTTTCTTTACAAATAAATTTACTCAGACTCGGATGTGTCTGGGTCTGGCGCGGAAACCAGTGTAAATATAATAATTTTAATTTTAGGACGACCCGGACGAGAAGGACCTAGAGGAGCGCCTGTCAGTTTTAATTAATATTTTCTCTTTAATTTCTTTCATATTTAGGGCTCTCCTGGTCGTCTTATTCCCGTGCCTGGACCTCAAGGTCCAGCCGGACCTCCGGGCGTTGTTGGACCACCAGGAGCCCCTGGAGCTGCCGGACCTCCTGGTCAATCATTTGAAGGTCCTCCTGGACCTCCTGGCGAGCCTGGACGTCCCGGACGTGAAGGCCGTCCTGGCGGACCTGTAAGTTTTTATTTCTCTAAACTTTTGAAGTTAATTTGTATTTTTAACAATTCAGGGACCTGCTGGACCTCCTGGACAAGATGGAGAAAAGGGCAGTTGTGAACACTGTCCAGGTATTTTTAAAAAAATATTTTCAAAAATTCCATTAATTTTTCTCTTTTTTTCTATAGAACCGCGTACTCCTCCCGGATATTTCGCGGAGGCAAGTGCAAAAAGTGGTGGATATCATTAATTATTATTGTGATATTAAACTACTACTTTTTATTCTCTTCAATCAAAAAAAGAAGGAACCAGTTAGGAAATTTAAAAAACAAAAGAAAATCAGTCATTCGTCTTCAATCATCGTTGAAAAGCTCAATTAACCCAAATTATACAAATATTTAATCTCATTTCTTTTTTCCTTTTCCCCTAATTCTGTATAGTCTCTCTCTCTTACAACACACTTTAATTGCTTCCGGAAATTATTTAAAGTGGGGGTGTGCGCAAAAATTATTTTAAACAAAACGCCAAAACAAAAAATCTTGGCGCACATCCTAATTTTATATAAATTCTGTCCCCTCTTTGTTGTCAGTCTTTGTTGGTTGTTTTATAGTGCGTGTGGCCGTGGTCCTGGTCCGATCATCGCAGCCTCTAAAAGTATTTTTGTTGGATTGTTAAACATTCCCCCTCCTTCCTTTAAAAATTATTTTTTGCCATATTTCTTTTTATACATGCCAATAATGAATGTATTTTATTAAGCAATAAATTTATATAAACAAAGCATATTAATAATAAAAAACAAAACTTTATATGAAAATAAATACAATTTTATTTAAAAATGGATTTTAAATCCTACATATTTTTTTGTTGTAAACAAAAATTAAAAATAGTAAATTGGACAAATAAAGGTAAAAAAGCACTGAATTGTTTTAAAATGCATTATCTCCGACTCGCAAATTTTTAGAAAAATTCAGCATACGAGATAAATAGAAATTTTAACAATCACTAAATTAAAACCTTTCAGTGCTATATTATACATAATAAAGAGATCGCCAATACAATAGAATCTCTAACTTATCCTTCCTTCTTTTCATAAAATTGTGTAAAAAAGCTCCAAAATCAAATAATCCAAGAAAGACTCTCTCTTACAATTTCTCCCAATTTCTTACTTATCCCGGCTCGGGCCGGTCCCGATTTATTGGATAATTAATTGGGATAGGGGATAAAAGATTGGGATAAGATAGAGATTCCAGTATATAGTCTGACTTCACTATAGGATACACCAACTACTAGATACTCCTCGATTTAAGAGGAGTTATTGGTTGGATTTAAATTGGTTAGCCTAAGGCTGGTATGGACGCAGTTGCGGATTGCAATGAGATCGAAATTCTGCATTTTTAATCCGCAATTATCGTTTCGAAAATATTTTGTCTTGAAAATCAAACGATTATACTGAAATGTTCACCCACGGCGCTTAAGCCCAGAGCCTTTTTGAAGTATCCGAGACCAGGGATGTGCGCCAGAATTTTCGCGTGGCGCGCCAAACGCCAAACGCCAATTTTTCAAATTTTCAAATCACGCCAAACGCCAGAACGCCAAAATCGGCAAAAAACGACGCCAAAACGCCAAACGCCAAAAATTTTATTCAACTAAGGCCCGAAAAACAAGTGCTTATCTCTTTTTAGCGCCGCAGGCGAAAATTTTTAAATTTTACGACTTCCAGAAGCCAAAATTCATCCTTTTTTTAGCGCCTACACCCAAAATTATGGAAATTTGTTAAGAACAAGAGCAGAAATCCTACTTTTTCTAAAAAATTGCAAGAAAAATGGAAAAATCACAACCCCAGAATTGTAGAATATCGAAGGGTTTAGATGTCCAGATATCCTGTTTAACCTCCCGAAGTAAGGGACTTAGAAAGGATTAAGAAGGCATTAGTGGACTTTGGTAGATTAATAGGATTTGATGGATATTGGAGGATTGAAGAAAAGTGCATTAAGTTCTATTTGTGCCACAGGCCTTCTATTAGTGCCACTGGCGAAAATTTTGTGATTTTTTGAAATCTAATAAGTAGATTTCTTCCTTTTTGTGCGCCGCAGGCGCAAATTTTGAAAATTTTGGAAGGCTGTGGGCAAAAATTTCATTTTTTTGAAAACACTTCCCCCATTTATTTGGAAAATTCCCATCATTAGGGGTGTATAATTTTGGCGTTTTGGCGCGCCAAAAACTGAAAATCACGCCAAACGCCAGCACGCCAAAATCGGCCAAAAATCACGCCAAAACGCCAAAACGTCACGCCAAAACGCCATGACGCACATCCCTGTCCGAGACCGAGCCAATATTTAAAAATGATCGAAGCTAAAGCCAGTGTATCTTATAATAAAGTCTGACAGTGCTCAACTCAAAGTAAAGAATTGTTTTTATTTTGTCTTCTTCCATTTCCTTCCCTAGCAATTAAAATTGCTCTTTCATTAACACCAAATAACATATAACTTGGGGAACGGCGAACAATTGTATAAGCAGCATCAAAGTCAATATCCTTTTTTAAATTTTAATTAAAATATTTATTATCTACATACAAAAACGGCAACCATCCAAACGCCACCAAATCGTCGTTCCATTGCCTAATAAAAATAATGAATTTTTTAAAATTGCTTTAAAATTTAGTTTTGGAAAAAAGTAATTGGCAAATGGTGTTTTGATATCCATGAGATATCTCGAAATCTACATTTAATTTTTACTCCAATATGGCCTCTGAGAGTTTATTTTTAAAATTACTCAAAATTAATTAAAAATAAATGAGTACTTCTCCAATTAAATTAGATTCATTTCCACTATCCGGCCATTTTCCCGAGAAATTCTGCAAAATCGCTTGTTTAGCAGCTTGTTTCATTCTTTCATTCACTCCAAAATTAGCCAATAATTCAATTTTGATATTTATTGTCCGATTAATTTTGATCCTTTAAAAGTATCATTTTTTAAGATACATCTTAATTGTTATATAACGGCACCCAGGCTTAGTAGGGATTTTTCTCACGGATAACTTAGACCTTGGGGCGGTGGCAACACTAAAAATTAGAGTTAGGCGGAATAGAGATAGGCCGAAATCTGTATCGGGATTTGGATGATCCCGATCCCAATCCCGACCGCGGTATCAGGACTAGCAAAATCGGTAGGGATTAAAAAACCGGGATAACCCCGCCCAACTCTACTATAAATATTAAATCTAACAGCATTGTTAGATGCAAAATCTTCGGCCATTGTCCTAATGGATGGGGTATTTCAGATATCTTCAAGTTATGCCTTCTTAGGACAAGATAAGACATAGATTTTGTTATTTCCAAACCTTTCCGGCTTATTCCAATAAGGAGAATATCGATCATATACAGCAGAATAAGTCAAAACAGTTGATAACAACAAAAGAAAATTTTCTATTCGGAGCATTTTTTACGTAATTTTAATTTTTGGTGTATTTTAATTGGTAAATATTTTTATTTTAAATTTTTTTTTCGAAATTTAAGTGAGGGAGTAAATACTAAAAAAGTTCTTTTATAAATATAGTTCAAATACGCGAAAATTGGTAGGAGGAGGGGATGGGGGGAATATACTAAAAACACATGTTCTTTATTTTAAATTTTTTAATTTATTTTCTCAATTTGAGCGTAAAATTGCGCAAATTAAAATAAAAATTTAAATTTAAAAAAAGTAATAAAAAGTGTTTGTGTGTGTCTATAAAATTATTTTTTTAAATTAAATACAAATTTCAGTTTTTGATCAATAGAAAAAAATAAAAGAATTTAAATTTTAGTTAATTTTAATTTTTTCTTTTAATTTTAAAATGTCTGTCTCTAACAATTAAAAAAATATTTTTATGATGAAATTTTGAGGAAATAAATAAAAAGAAAAATAATTTATTTAATTAAAAAAAGCTGGAATGAATATTTAATTTAAATAATTATAGGGTATGTGTTAGAGGGCGATCTGGCGGAGCGGGAACTAATTTTAGTTGGGAACGGGGGCTGCGGGGAATTCTTGTTAGGGGAACATCCGCGATGCCCCAATATAGGAACAGAAATTTAATAAAATTTTTACTATAGTAAAGATTGTTCAATACGGAGGGTTAAATCTGGGCTCCAGATCCGGAGCCGAATTTTTTGGGAGTCGCTTCATAAATCCCCGGGGAACCCCTTTTCCCTGCGACGAAGCCGAACTCTAGTTTGTGTTAAATAACCAAAAAATTATTCAAAAATAATTGTACGACAAAAATTGTTTGTAAAATAATAAAAGGAAATTGAGTCAATATTATATAAAGTAATGCTTGGAATTTAAAAGGCACTTTATAAAGGAGATAAATTTTAGTGATATAAACAGATAAACCTAGTAGACGTTTATTGGGGGGTTTTTTGGTAAACCAAAAAAAAATCCTCCAAGCATTAATATAATTAAAATAAGTCGTCATTTATGTATTAGAGCTCAAAAATTGTTATCAAAAAAATTATCAATAATCCAGAAAAACAAAAAAATTTCAATTCACAATCTCTAATACAAAAATAAAAAATTTTTTTAAAGAAAAGCAAAATTACTAGGTCGTTTCATAAAAAAGTTCGTTTTTTTCCACAAAGGAATTTTCTAAGAAAAATCGATAAATCACTAACAAAATCAAACAAATAAAAAATCTAACTGAACTAAATAATTGCCCCGAGTCTTAACAACATTTTTAAAACAAAAAAGACGTTTATGGTTACCCCTTTTAAAAAAATCTGACCCCATTTCTGAAGCACTGTCTTCCCCACCGCAGTCTCGACCTTAGCGTCTTCTTTCAAGTACCCTTCCCGTAAAAAAATTTTTAGAGAAGTGAAATGATGTTAATCTGATAGAGCAGACTCAGGGCTACAAGGGGGGTGGGGTAACACTTTCCAACAAAGTTTATTTGGGGTATGGCAGGTCGTCAAAAATGAGCGGAGTAAGGGAGCGTTATTTTAATGGAAAACCAGAGGTCTAGTAAACAGTCCCTGGTGACGTTGAAGGTAACAAACGAAATCTTCCTGGGTGAGTTAGTTAATATGCATGTTGGAGTTTGTAGTGGTACCAATTTGAAGTACCTCCGTCATCAACGGACCGAGCACCATCCAAAAGAATACACAACATACGTTTTTTGGGTAGTTGGTTGGGCGGGGGACCAAAAGAGAGTCTTAATATTTTTTCCTCCAAACAATTTTTGTATATTATTATCGTAATTGGCATATGTTTCAACTTAGGTAACAATCCGGTTACATGAACAACCCTTTCGATAGTTATCCAGGCTTGAAAGGCAAAAAAAAAGTCCCTGTTGTTTTTGTCTCCCAGTCGGTTGGTGCATTATTCTTTTTGTCCTCCTCGGCTCACGATCCGTTTTTTTCGACACTTGCTATATCGTACTTATAGAGCAATGTCCCCGCTACAATACTATCAAAAAAATATCCGGATATCATTCTAACCTACGAGCAAGGACGCGTTTGTTTACAGTCGGTCGTCTGCACGACCCATGTTTGTGTTTGGGCCTGCTGCTCCCCGAACAAAATTTTTTCAAAAATTTTTGAGCTGCACTAGGCTAGAACACTTCCCTGCCTAACGTTTCATTAATTTTTCTTGCTTCCAACATTGCATTATTACTTTGTTTTAATGCGATGTGTAAATGCTTCTGAATATTAACTCTACCCACGCTCACTTCTAAAGGTATAAAAATTTTTCGGGCTTTTCTATTTTTAAAATTTTAGCATGATTATAAAGCTAAGATTCAGGGCTACAAAATAAGATAAAAATAAAATCTGATAAAGATAGTTATCACTCTGAAAATAAGTGATAACAAAAAACGAACTTTTTTATGAAACGACCTAGTAGAGCATTTGACAAAACTTAATAAGTATCCCAATTATTCCTCCCTTCCTTTCAAAAATCATTTATTTTTAAAGCAAATTTCCACTGTCAAATTTAACACGAACAATATAACGTAATTGAACTTGTGCTTCATCATAAACAATATATCTAAAAAAATAATTTTATTTGAATTTAAAAATAATTTTAACATACTCGTTGTAAAGAAGAGACAATTTTTTCTTTTCTGAATTAATTGGTTTACCACAGGGAATAGTCATTTCGTCAAATTGAACATTTTCTTTTGGATTAGGGAAAGTACCACCAATACCTGAAATTCATTTTTTTGTTAAAATAATTTAAAATTCAGATATTTAGACAATAACCACTCAAAATGTCAACAAACCTTTAACACTATTTTTCCCCCTTTTAGGTTTTTTCAAATCTTTAGCATCAACTTCTTCTTGTATTTCTCCCAAAGCAACATCACAAAGCAAAAGTAATCCTTCCCCAGACATTGCATAACAATAATTAGCTGATTTTGTAACCATGTCAGCAAAATAAATTCCTTTCCCAAACATATATCCTGTTACAGGAGCTTCGGGTGGAGCAATTCTAAAAAAAGAATTTAAAAATAATTCAGTAAAAGATAAATTTTTGCTCAATTTATATTTTGGAATTTTTATTTAAAATTTACAAAATATTAAAAGTTTCCTGAAATAAGTAAATTTTTTTACCTCAACCCTTGACTCAAAATTCCAGCATAGTTTGTTAGACGACTTCCATGCCAAAGCAAATAACGATTGCCCATTTCTTTTTTAAAATTTTTTACTTCCATTAAACGCTGAATTTTAAGTACCTACAAATAAAATCTGTGTTAATAACTAAAATTACAAGTATTAAATTATATTAACTATTGGAGACCAATAGGAACTGAACCCATAAAATGGTTGCAGATCACACTAACAAACTATAACCAGGCATGGTATCCGCCGTAAATATGCGGATATGGATACCAAGATCAGTATTCGTGACCATGCCTGACTATAACTAGTCAGTCTATTGATTTTTAAAAAATTTTCTAGGTCGATTCAAAAAAATAAAATATTTATAAATTAATCTTCTTGGCTACTCTATTTATTAAAAATTAATTTTTTATAATCAAAAAATAAAAAAATTTAACAAACATTAATAATTTCCAATTTAATTGTGTGAGTTGCAGCATGAGTATTTTCCAAATAACGATTAATTAAACCAAATTCCTCCGATTTTTTATCAAGAACCTTAAATAATTTCAAAATATTTTTAAAAATAAATTTCAATAAAAAAACCTCCATACAGCAATTTAATTTAGAATAATGTAAATCAAAAATATCTTTAGTTCCATTCTCTTCCATTTCATTTTGATCTGTCTTCAAAATATTATAAGCAATTTCAATGTCCAAAAGAGAGTCTAACATTGAAGTTTTTGACTAAAAAATTTAGTTGAAAATTAAAATATAAAAAATTCCAAACAATTAAAATTTCGTGACTGTCAATAAATGGAGGAGGGCCAAATCCTAGCGCGTGAGGAATTAATGTGTAGAAACGATTTGTAAAGTCGAGAACTTCATTTTTTGAAGGACCTTCTGGTTTCTCCAAAGCAAATTGCAAATCTTTGAGAACTTTGTAGGCTTTAAGGATGTGATTTTTTGAAAGACGCCCCAAAGGCATTTTTTCCAAATCAATCTAAAATTAAATTTTATTTAAACAAACTTCAAAAGATTTAAAAAAACCTCAAATTCCATCATTGCATTTTGCATTGCTTTCACGTCAAAAACCAAGGAAATTAATTCCTTTATTTCTCTTGGTAGTTTTGATTTAGAAGATTCAACGCTAAGCTTTCTTGTCTTTTTTTCATCATTCTAAAATTAAAAAATAATAATAAAATCGGATATAAACAAAGGGCGTAGACCGGGGGTGGGTGGTTCTGGGGCTAAAGCCCCCCTGAATAGACCCCCTGGCTACGCCCCTGATATCAACTTCATTACATCCAATAATAAATTGACAAAGCAACATACTTTCTGTTCGTCCATTTCCAAAATATCCATTCCAGCCGGAGCTTTCTTAAAATTTCCTTCAACATAATCCTCCCAAGTATTGTAACATTTGTCATGGAATTGAAATTTAAATTCCTTCTGACAAGCTTCAAGATCTTCTCCATAATCTTCAGTTTTTACACCACCAATTGTTGTTCCTACTCTTCCCCAAGCTCGAAAAAGATAAAATCTGGAAAAGAAAATAATGTCAAAAATATTTTGTTTAAAATAACAAACGTTGAGCCTTCATCATCTTTAACTATCTGCAATTTGTAAAACGAATTTTTGCCAGTAGTTATGTCAACAGCAGACAAATTAACTTGCCAAGGATGTTCTTAAAAAAGATAAATGCAAAATAAAATAAGGAAACAAACTTGTAATTGGATCAACATAAACATGTGTTGTCTCTGCCACATCACATCTCGGATCAACAACATATCCTCCTTTTACGACCATCTTTTGATTGTTATTTTCAGATACTAAAAATTGAGACATTGAAAAAAGATTTTCGTTATTCTTAAAATAAATCAAAAGCTACAGAAAAAAACTTAAAAAATGAAAAAACTGAAACAAAAATAACACAAGCTTAACATTAGCATAATAAAAATAAAAAACCTTTAGATTTTGCCTGTTCATTTCTCGCATAATTGAGATAACCAAATGCTTTAGATCCACTAAGAGGCTTCTGTTCAAATGCAGCTGCTGGATAAACACGCTCATCAAGCAACTTGAAATAAGAATATTTTAATAAATTTAAGAAAAGAAAAATTTACAGGAGATTTCAATTTCTTCAAATATTTATTTTCTTTTTTCATTTCTGATGGAATGCGGAATTGAGTACGTCCAGGCTTCTTTGTTGTATAAAGACAGCGAGTGTATTCTGTGACACTTCCAGAACAACGATAGGCATGTATATCGGTGCTTTAAATGAAAAAAAGTTATTATCGATGAATGAAAAAAATTACTAATAAGTCAAAGTTTTGTTGCATTGGGGGCAAGGTTGTGCCGGTCCAAAGGCAATCATATCCACCAATTTATCTAGCATCCTTTCAGGTCCTCCTTTCTTTGATTTGTAGCTTTTATTTGCAACTAAAAGTTCCTCCATTTCCTCATGATTTAAATTTTTCTTTAATTCTTCTCTTAATTTCCATAAAACATCTGATTGATTCTAAAAAAATTAAAATTACTAACATAAGATTAGCGAAAAAGACAGGGAATTGTCAACTCAAAATTGAAAAAAGATTTCGATCAATCGAAACAAAAAATATATTCGTTTCAGGCCATAACCAGGGGGTTGCGGGCCTATAACTAATTCGGCACAAAAATTAGGCGGAGAAAAATTTCCCCCTTGCCCCCCCCCCCGCCCGAAAAAAATCCTGGTTACAGGCCTGATTCGCTTGCGCATAGATTCGTCGGTATTGAAAAATCGAAGATTTCAGGTCCAGTTCCCTTTAATCTTTAATAAAATACCTTCAAAGCAGCCTTAAGTTCATCATTTTCCGTTTTTCCCTTCTTCATCACTGGTGTTTCATTAGAAGTTCCACTAGTGGTAGCAGAATTATCAAATTCTCTTTTTTGTCCAGTAGATTGAGGCTTTGGGAAAAGTTTTTCTAATTTTGATTTTTCATCAGCATCCAATTGATTATATCCCACGATTCTAAAATTAAAAAAATAAATTTTAAAAATTTATTAAAAATTTACTCCTCTGCACTTTTTTGAAATAACTTATGATCAGAATTTGCTGTATGAAAACAATCAACGTGATAAAAAGAAGAACGACCAGAAATGCGAAGTTCATCCTTTGGAATTTTCTCTTTGCACGAAAAACATTTTCCTGTACCAGATTTTGCATGTTCTACTTTAATTGTTGCCGTTTTAGGTGTGTAGCCAGAATCGCCGGAGGCTAAAATTTTGAATGAAAGAATTAAAAATTTGTAAAAAGTAGGGGAAATGTCTAAAGCGCCCATTGACGTTTTCAATAATAAATGAAAATTTGTTAAAAAACCTGCAAGTTCATTAATGCGTTGACGAATAAGTTCTTGATCTTCCCATTTAAGCCAATCTAATCCACGGATTGACACTTCATTAATGTCGTTTTTACGAGCCTTTTTCCAGAAACACTCAAAATGGTGCCTTAACAAAATTTATATTTAAAAATAAATTTTAAAATATACCAATTATCCTGAAAGCCGTCAAAAAATTTTGATTGGAAACGGACAGACATTCTCAATGCCCCCTAAAATTTATTTTTTTAAATTTAAAACAAAATCAAAAAAACCTTTTCAATTGGTTCTTTACATCCTTTACACGTAGCTCTTCCACTTTTGGCATATTCTGCACCATATGGAGCCTCTTTTGATTCAAGTTGACTTTCACCTTCACCAGAAGTTCGTTTAGCGTTGTTTTCAGCCATAAATAAAAATAATAACTAAACTTTTAAAATTGATTTTTCTCTTTAAAATGGTGAAAAGTCTAAAAAAATTAATGAAATCAAAGCTCCTCACAAAATAAAAAAATAAAATTTTAAGCGAAATAGTAAACAAAAAGAGGAGAGCAAGCCAAAAATGGATGAAATGTCGGAAAACAACATTTTGCCAAAATTTACAAAATTTTAAAAAATTGTCTGATTTGTTATCAGAAAAATCAATTTGATCTAAACTTTCTTAACAAACTTTGTTTATTTTTATTAAATTTATATTCTTTTATTATGATCAACAGTATATTTATAGTTAATACTTCCCAGTATGTTTTTCTTTTCCTTCGATTTCTTAAAATAAAAATTTCTTCATTTTAAAGCGATGTAATTTTGGAAAAACATTATAAATCAGTCATTCATCGTTCTGTTTGTGATTATTTTTTTGATGTACAAAAACAGGCTTTAAATAAAGAAGATATACCTCCAGTTATTGTTTCTCCTCATCATTATTTACATGTTGTTTATCACAAAAATTTGTATTTTTTGGCTGTTTGTTTAGTTGAAAGTTTGTTTGTTTCTTTCTTATTTTAAATTTTTTTTATTTATTTTAAGCACCCCCTTTAATGATAATTGAAATGCTTAACAGAATTGTTGCAATTTTTACTGAATATTTTGATGAATGTTCTGATACAACAATTAAGGATAACATCGTTATTGTTTTTGAGGTAATTTTTTTTAGTTTTTTGGGGTTAACTGTATGTTAGCTGCTTGAGATTGTTGGTCACAGAAAAAATAACAGAAATCTTGACCCTATCCCAAAAGAAGGGCGGACTCGTACAAACGAAACACGGACGGACTCGGACAGACGTCCGTATCTGGTCTGACCCGAGTCCGTCCGTGTTTTGTTTGTCTGTGATTTGTCTGCCCATGTTTTGTTTGTCTGTGTCCATTCGTCTCATTTTTCTCCATTTTCCTTTTCATTTTTCCTTTCCTTGCAGGTAATGAAAAAAAAACGATTCCGCCCTTCTTTTGGGATAGGGCCGAAATTTTTCTTTCAGATTTTAGATGAAATTCTCGACAATGGATACCCTTTGTGTACAGAAATGAATGTCTTACAGGATCTTATCAAGCCTCCTAATTTTTTGCGTTCATTGAAAAATCATGTAACTGGAGAAACAAATATTTCGAATGTTTTGCCGACAGGACAATTATCTGTAAGAATTTTTTTGTTAATAAACTTCTAAAAAATATTTTAAAATTTAAGAATGTTCCTTGGCGTAGAGCAGATGTTAAATATGCAAATAATGAAGCTTATTTTGATGTAATTGAAGAGATAGATGCAATAATAGACAAACAGGGAGGGACAATATCTGCAGAAATACATGGAAGTGTAAGTATAAAATGAGGGATTTTAGGTTTATTAGAATTTATGAATAATTTTTCTGCGTTAAATGGAGACTAGATATTCTACTTACACTTAATAAGAATTTTCCCATTCTTGTACATATTCTTGTTTTAATTGAATTTAAATTTGAAATTCACAATATTTAATTGAAAAATAGACAAAACTTTTTCACTTTTCTCAAGCAGAAATTCTAATCTTCTTTACAAACTAAACACCCCCCCCCCTACCTCTTCTCAAAATAACTACTTAAAATTATATATTTTTGTAGATAAATTGTTGCTGTCGACTCTCTGGAATGCCTGACCTTACAATGACTTTTGCTAATCCAAGAATTTTGTATGATGTTTCGTTTCATCCTTGCGTTCGATTTAAGCGATGGGAGACGGAACGTTTACTTTCTTTTATTCCTCCTGATGGAAATTTTCGTCTTATTTCTTACAATATTAGTTCACAAAGGTTATCTAATTAATTTATCCATTTTATCTAATTAATTTTTTAGTGTCGTTGCTGTTCCTCTTTATATTAGACACAATATTGTGCTAAAAAGTGGGGCATCTGGCCGTTTTGAAATTACCGTTGGTCCAAAACAAAGTATGGGGAAAATTTTGGAAGATGTTATAATTGAATGTCAAATGCCAAAAGCAGTACAAAATTGTAATTTATTGGCTAGTCATGGAAAATATTCGTTTGATCCAACAACAAAATTACTTCAATGGACTATTAAGAGGATAGAATTGGGGCGACCACCGACACTGAAGGGAACGGTTTGTTTTTTTAAATATTCAACTGAAAAATAAAAAAGGATCCTTATTTTTTCCGTAAATCCGCATGAGCGTCCCTATGGAGGTGTTAAGAGTCTCGATCGTGAACAGTTCCTCCAAACTTTAATTTTTTACAATTTTAGATATCAATAGCCCCTTCAAGTAAAGGACAATTAGAAACCCCGCCAATAGTAGCGCAGTTTAAAATCAATCAATTGGCAGTGTCTGGACTTAAAGTTAACAGGTTGGATATGCATGGAGAAGCTTATAAACCTTTTAAAGGAGTGAAATATATTACAAAAGCAGGAAAATTTCAATTCAGAACAGTTTAAATATTTTTAGTTTGTTTTTTAAATTTTTGTCAAATTTATTTACACGCTTAAAATGAAAAGCTTATTTTATAAATTAAAATAATCATTCAACTAAAATTTTTGAAGAAATATCATTACAAAGCCATTCCAATGCCTCAAGTAAATTTTCACCAGTATAAGCACTCGTTCTAAAAATTCGCCATCTGTGCTTTGTTATAGACTCCAATTTGAGTAACTAAATTTTATAAATTTATTTTTATGTAGTTTTCGGGTCAGAGTATTTGATTTACGACTGAAATGTTAGACCAGGACTAGAGATCGGAATTTTGAAAAAACCGGGACCGGGAACCGGGAAACGGGTTCTGAAGGTCGACCGGGAGGGACCCGGACCGGGAAAACCGGGAATTCCCGTTCCCGGTTTCATCCCGGTCAAAAATGACCGGGACCCGGGCCGGGAAACCGGGAAATTTTAAAAAATTTTGAAATGCATTTAAAAATTTTAAAAAGTTATGGGAGTAGTTATTTATTGAAAAATCTGATTTATAAATAGAAGAATTTAATAAATCAGTAAAATAAATCAATAAAACAAATGTAAATTACAATAAAGTAAAACATAAAGCGGATTACGTAGGGCTAAAGGGATTTGAGAGGCTAGAGAATAATTTGGGATATTAGGAGATTTTGGAGTTTAAGATCTCTCGATAGCCTCCTCAAATTTTTTTATATCGCCTATATGTATTCCTCATCTAATTCCCTTTAATCCCTCCTAATCCACATTGATGCTGATTTAATTTTTATTTATTTAATTTTTATTTAATCCCTCAAAATCCACTCTGAACTTCTCTGTGCAATAGTGATATCAGGGATTAAAAGAGATATCAAGAGATGTTGGGATCATTAAGAGAGATTATGGAGAAAGACCTCCAACCACCTATATCACCTGATATCTATTCAAATCCCTTTAATTGGAAGGCAATGATATCATATGATTAAATCATATGATTAAGGCAGATCTAATGGATTTAGAGGGATAAAGATGGCTTAATCACCAGGTCCCTTGATAAAATACACTAATTTCCCTCAACTTTTCCTCCAATAATACCTCCAAATTTCTTTGTTCCAAATTCTTCCGCGAAAATTTTGAGAATTTTGGAAGGCCAAACAGCCAAATTTCTTCCGTTTTCAGCGCCGCAGGCGAAAATTTTGAGAATTTTTGTAAAATCTCCAATATTTTTAAGTCAAAAATCAAAACGCCAAGCAAAAATATTTAAAATTAGCTGCTAGAATTTTTCCCGGTTTCCCGGTCCAAAAAAAGCCGGGATCGGGAACGGGAAACGGGAAATGAAAATTAACCGGCCGGGACCCGGACCGGGAAAACCGGGAATTCCCGATCCCGGTTTCATCCCGGCATCTTCAAAAAAGCCGGGAAAAAGGACCGGGAAACCGGGAAACGGGACCGGGTCCCGATCCCGTTCCGATCTCTAACCAGGACAATCGACATTCTGGCTTTATGTAAAGTTCAAAACTCAATGGTGAGGTCTCCGAATATTTTGCAATAAACTAGCAGGGATCGAACCTTGCACCTCGGCTTATTAACATAACTGCCCAGCAATAAGGTTGGCGGATAGTTGGAAAATTTCGGATATCCGGATCCGGATCCGGTATCCGAACCGAAATTTTCGGATATCCGGATCCGATATCCGAACCGAAAATTTCGGATATCCGGATCCGGAACCGATATCCGAACCGAAAATTTCGGATATCCGGATCCGGAACCGAAATTTTTATTTTAAAATTTTTGCCTGCGGCGCTGTAAAATTGAGTCCCAATGGATGATATAGAGATTAAGAGCTGGGGTTGGGAATTACGAGAGATATAGAGACACTTATTGATTAATCTCCTATATCCACTCTAATCCCATCATCCTTGTCCCTCTATATGACATCCAAATACATCAACATTTCCTTAAAGTTGCAAGCCCGCATGTAAGTTTTACAAATGTTTACAACTCTTACTCTTTTAGCGCCGCAGGCGGAAATTTTGTGAATTATGATAAGCCAAGGCTTAAGATTTCTTCCCCTTTCTCGCCGCAGGCGAAAATTTTGTGAATTATGGTAAGCCAAGGGGTCAGATTTCTTCATCTTTCAGCGCCGCAGGCGAAAATTTTGAGAATTTTGGAGGTTCTTAAGTCAGATTTCTTCCTTTTTCAGCGCCGCAGGCGAAAATTTTGAGAATTCTGGAGGTTCTTAAGTCAGATTTCTTCCTTTTTAAGCGCCTCAGGCGAAAATTTTGAGAATTCTGGAGGTTCTTAAGTCAGATTTCTTCCTTTTTCAGCGCCGCAGGCGAAAATTTTGAGAATTCTGGAGGTTCTTAAGTCAGATTTCTTCCTTTTTAAGCGCCTCAGGCGAAAATTTTGAGAATTCTGGAGGTTCTTAAGTCACATTTCTTCCCTTTTCAGCGCCGCAGGCGAAAATTTTGCAATTTTGAACGTCAAGTAGCCCGAGTTCTTCCTTTTTCAGC